TGCCGCTTTGCGTAAAGAAAAAAACACTCTTTATTCTAACTGAAGCATCTGTTTTTATTTCAAATTTGCACAGCTCTATGTTAAAGTATATAATATAGTATCTTTTCATGTGGCTTCACTTAGCTTGGAATTGTGTAATTAATGACATTGCAACTCTTCCATTGTGATGGAACTATTTTCTTGCTGTGTGTCAAGGTAACAGAGTAAATGCAGCTTTACAGTATGCAAAACATATCATACATCTATTATCCCCATCCGATTTTTATTGAATGATCTGCTAATAATAATTAGCTAATACACTATTAAATTATATTCTATCATTGGCTCTTGGACAACTTACTTGGTAGTCACTACCCCAATGATTTTTACTGTTTCCAGGCTTTCAAATTTAAGGATAAAGGCCTTGTAAACTCTTTTTATTTTCAATAACATTATAGCACTTACATCTTCCTGTACAATAAAAATACAGGCTAATTGCAGGTCTCCTGCTTTATTGATTTAAAAAGGCAAAGGTGAGATTGGGAAATGAACATTCTGAAATGCCTAGAGCCAATAATGGGGAGCATTCTATAAGGACATTATCTTCTGAAGACTCTAAAGATGCCTTCATTTTGTTATCAATTTACAAACCCAAAAGGTTGATAAAACATAATATAGCTGATCAAATTTATATTGTTAACAAAATAATGAGTTTGTCCAGATACCTAAAACTACAATGAACATGGGTTTTTTTTTCTTATTAAGCTATTACCCTCGGCCTTTCCTCTTTAGTCATTCCCCTTTTGAAAAAATGACAGCGTGCGTAGTTTTCTCTGGAAAAATTGTTATTCATAACAAATCTATGTTCCTCAGTAGAAGTATAAAAGAACGACTTCATCATGAAAAATTTGGTAAGCTTTTTAATTGCAAGATTTGTTTTGAGTTAGTTTTTATTTTATTTTATGCCCAGGCATTTAGGAGAAGGCAATATGGATAAAATTTCATTGAATGAACACTAATTTTAAGCAGGAAAATCAATATTTTTGTATTTTGCAATATATTTTATACACACTAAAGAATTCCTCTTAAAAAAATATTTTTTTAAAAAAGGAATTTGTAGCCCTCCAAATTTTGCAGAACTACAATTCCTAAAACACAAATAGTCCAACAAAATGATGAAAACCTGCCTCCCTTCCTTAACATAATAAACTTGAAATGCAATGTATTTTGGATTCTAGTTAATGAAGGATAGTTACACTGAGGTAACTAATCTCTGTATTATGTCATCTTGTTAAAACATAGAGAATTCAGATATCTAAAGAGCACCTTTTTGTGCATAAATATTCAAAAACTTGTATTGCACTTTGTAATTTTAATGCAGTTATTTGTTGAAGAATAATTCCAGCAATCCTCCACCAGCCTGGACAATAGTTGAGAGTTGTTCATTCACTCTTGTGACAGCAGTGCTTTTCTTTTTCAATATCTTTGTGCTTGGATCAATACATATATTACAAATAAAATATAAAGTCAATCAAAACAAACAAACATTAAGTCAAATTTGAAAACTGAGGTCTTTGAAGTGCAACAATATCGCTATTCATTGTCAAATAGCCTGATAGAATGAGAAACCTGAAAAGAAAAAACTCTCCGGTCAATAATCTTATTATGCTATTTCTTCCTGTCCCTTCCTAACAATACGTTCAAATCCAACAAATTTCAGGCTAATGACTACTTCCCATAACTTTTCTAACAAAAAGGCACCTCTCAAATCTGTTTTATAGTTTCTTAGATTATTTTTCCCCTGAGAAAATTTTTTTTTAAACTTTATTCACAGGGTGCTTGACATTTTCTTTTGAATTTTTTAAAATTGAATTTACTTTATTGTTGTTGGTGAAGAATGCTTCTTTTCTCTCACACATCTTTCCACAATCCTGAAATAACCCTGGATGTCCACAATTTCTTTAGCTTGGCAGTTACTCATAATGGTAACTTACTGAATTTGTCACCCTTTTTCTAGGCATGCAGTAAATTTAGCAAATGAGATGGTTTAAAAAGGCAGAGATGGAGAATTTAGTTCCAGCACTAACAGGATCAAGTCTGTTCCTCCCCCCCAACCCCACTTTTTGATGTTTTCTTTTTGAAAAAATGTGGGTTTCTGAAGGAGGGAGAAGTTAAGCAATGAAAAAGTTGGGGAGCTCCTCCTGAGTTTTCTCAAGGCATAGAAAGAGCCTGGCGATATTTGCAATCTTATGATGGTCAACTGTTTGGAAAGAGGTCCAGCTCACAAGCATGGCTTAATTGACCAAGCACTGAGACTTGTTTGAAAGCCTCTCTAGCAATGGCATTCAGCCCTAATCTAGCTGAACTCTTTCCCTCTGCTGAGAGTTTTGGGTTAACAGAGCTTTTTGCTGCTTGTCTGCCTCCTTTGTGGACCCAGCTCAGGCTCCATTACTGTCATAGGTTGAGGACTACCTGTAACTTGCATGAAAATATGGTTTGACAGAGAATTGGCATTGCCCAAGGACATCTGAGTTGTTCCTTCTTGGTTCCTTTTCTTTCTTGGATGAACCATTAATGAAGACAAAGAGACACAATGCCACTATAAATGGCTTCTGAGTAATTGCTGAATAAAGGCTTCTGATTAATCTTTTTAAGCATTAGTGAAGAAACAATAAAGGTAGTATTAGCTCCCTTTGATGACTTCCCTCTCCCTGATGAGAGAAAGCAAAAGGAAGTGGGAAAGTAAGTTAAGTTCTGCCTCAAGAACAGAAAGCAAAAAAAGAGAAAAATCAAAGAATACTAAGCTAGCAAAGAACAGACCAACCCAAGCAGAGAATAAAATATAGTGCAAATCCAAGTTTAGACAGCCAGACAAATAGGCTTATTCAGTAGGGTAACTGAATCAAAGGTTTTCTTCTCCCTCTTGGTCATGAATCTTTCAGTATTAAGTTTCTCAGGCTATTGCTCTATAGATATTCTATTTATTGGTTAAATTTATTTGCTGACTACCTCACCATGAGGCTCGTCTGGACAGCTTACAACAGTAAAAACAGAAATGAAAATAAATGTAAATGTAACAGTAGCAAAATAATGAAACAATGAAATCAACAATGAAAATGCAATACTATGAAAAGATAGGCTGGAGTGAAGCAGGAAATGCAGAGCAAGTAAGGCAGCAGGAACCTACAATGTGGAATTTCTCAGTTGGATTTCCAGGCAGATCTCACCCTGGGGTGTGTGTGTGTGTGTAGGATATTCCATGTTCCTATATTGATCATTTCTCACAATTAGCTTACATTACTTCTGGATGAAAATTGTAATGCAACATAGTTAAAGGGCACTGGGATGAGAAAAGTATTTTTGGTTGATTTCTAACTACAAAACCTTGAGATATTGAGGAAACTCAAAATCAGTGTAGGGAAAGGTTTTTCTCATGCCTTGGTACTAATAAAAATTCATCTTAGCTCACATTTGCTACACAGAGAATTGATGTTTTTCTTCTTCTTCTATTATCTAGTCCTGTCTTCAATAAATGCAGTGCCCAAATATAAAACCTGGATATATTTAACACTGCTCAATTTGAACGATCTGGCTTTCAATAAAAATTTGATTACAGAAAGCGGGAATTTGTACCTAGTCAGAATTTCCTTCTGCAAACTCTTAAATCTTTCCTTCAAACACCCGTTTCCTTTCCACTTTGCAAAAATCTTTGCCTCATTTACTTATCAGCTCAGGCTGTTATGCAACACTGATTGGTATCAATGGATGGATAAAATATCACAACTCAGGAAATCTTTCAGTAACAGGCATGATATTCCCCTCTGAAAAAAAATTCTGAAAAGTAGCCAAGCTCTTTTTTTTTTCCCTCCGCGCGACTTCCCGCAAGGGAATTTTCCGGTAAATGAACATTGCTTTCGCTCTCCGGAGGGAGCTGCAGCCATCTGGCTCTTTCCACACCTCCGCATCCCCGGAAACCTCTCCCCCCCGCCCCATCTTCTTCCCTTCTCCCGCCTTCCCCTGCCTCGCAAGGTAGGTAGCCAAGTTGCTGTTCGGCTCGTCCGCTTGCCAAGCCAGCCCGCCCGCCGCAGGGATGGTTTTGCCTCTAAAGTATCCATGGACCGAAAGGTGCCAGGAGGAGGAAGAAACCTGGGAGCCGCTGCACGTCCTCTGGTGCTGTTGCAAAGCGCCGCCACGGCTCTTCCTTTTTGCCTTTCCCTTCCCGAAGCAACGCGGGACTGGAACCGCGCCGGCGGAAGCAACTCCTGACTCGGGGCCTCTGAGGGGAGGGGAAGGAGAAGAAAGGGGGGAGGCAATTCCCAACCGGCAACGCTGAAAAAATCGGAATTCCAATTTTAGTCGGAAGAATATCATGTATGAGTAATGATGGGACATATTTTGCAATAGTATTTTCAAATACTGTAAAATTGGGTGAGTCACTGGGTGACCTGCTTTAGGACTGTCATGACTTATGACCAAAATGGGCATAATCTTTTTAAGTCAAAGATTACCTGTATTTAAAAAGATTACTTTTTTCCATTCTTAAAATGAATATATTTATTGACAAATTAAAATGAGGCAAAAAAATGTTTACTGTTTTTGATGCATCCATCCCATGCACACCTCTCTCTTTAATCTTCATCTTTGCACTCTTGATTCTATTTTTGGTCACTTCTATGTGAAGCCACCAGATGTAGGCTGCAAAAATCCAGATACTCCCTTACCAATGATCTAGTAAATATCTGATTTTTCATATATCAGATTTGACAGTACTATATAAATGAATGTTGAGAATATACAGCAGATAAGCAGCAAGCTAGGTAAGAACGTATTTCCATAGTGGCTTTGTTCAAATGATACACTGTGACTGCAGAGTTAGCCAAATTATAAAGCATACAGAACAGCTAATCACATGGATTGGAATCACAGATGCTAGTCAATAAAGTTCTTGGCTAATTTGTAGTTCTATGTCCTTAAAAAAAACAGCTAGCGGGTAAATTTAGCCTGAGTATGATTACATGTTACTTTTTCTTCTAGTGCCCTCTTGCTAGTGTTAAATGGAACCTACATCTTTAAATTCAAAAGTTTAATTCAGAAGTTTAAATCTTCCGTATTATATTTGCAAAGCTACAGACAGATGTTAATGTGTTAATAATACAATGAATTATCCAGAAAATTCAACTCTACTCTTCAGATTATTCTGAATTGTTAAATAACAAATGATCAAAGAGTAAGAACTGGTAAACTTCTTTAAATGTCTGAAATACATACATACAGAAACATACACAAATTGACAGTAACATAATTCACAAATTATGCTGAACTGAACTACAATGCTCTTAAGTTTCATTTAGCCAAATTACTGTTTATCAACCATGGTTATATAAACCATAGTTTACTGTAACACGCAAACCCAATCAGTAGTGTGTGTGTGTGTGTATCTATATATATCTATATATAGAAGAAATGGGTAACATAGATGATTCCTATTTTAATAGTGTCCCCTACATGAACGCTTGCTTAACATAATCTGAGACTTTATTCTTAGCTAAATGTATGGGTTGCATTTAATAATGCTATGTCTACGTACTTACTACATTGTGATCAAGGTCTACATATTTAGAAGCAAGTCTTATTACATTAAGTAGGACTTACTTCCTATATACATCTGCAGATTTATAATGCTAATTTGTTTTAGAGACCAGACATGGAATATAAACAGTGTTGAAGACAGGAGCAGAAAGCAGTGTGGTACATTTTATTTTGATATTTTCAGCCATTCATTCTCTCAGCCCAATCTACCTCACAGGGTGGTTGTTATGGAGAAAATAGGAGATAGGAGTATTATGAATAGTCACTATTTTGAATTATATATAAAAATATGAGGATAATGATAATATTTAAAACAATCTTCAGTAGCAACAAATTCCAGAAGAAAGTACTCCCCCCCCAAAACTTTCTTTGGAAATAGTCTTGACAGAGACAATGATATCATTAGAAATTATAAAATTTCTTTATTAAAGACATTTAAAATAAGATATCTTTATTTTGTAAAAATTAAACTGCACTTAAAGATATTTTTCTTCTTGAAAAATCTTAGAGATGAAGTAAGCTATGCTTACTTTATATAGGAATCCAGCTGTGGGTTATATTTGGATATAGAGGTGAATTCATGGATAACGTTTTGATCAAATATTTTTTGTCTTTTTTTAAATATGGAAAACTGCTTTTAATTGTTGGTAAGTTAATCTACCCAGAAAGCTACAGAGATATAACTTTTAAAATTGTTTACATTTTGTAAATGTTGATATCAAATCTCCAAGTGCTTTGAACAAAGTGATATAAACAAGGATTATGAATGTAACATTGACATGGAGTATCAGTTATACAAACTGAAATGCAGAAATTAAATCCAATTCTTACAAAACAGATGAAACTGTTGGAGCTGCCCAAGCCAAGGATCTATAGCTGTATTTAGGCTGCCATCCAGAAGAGGAAAGTTCCTTTATATATTAAAAGGTGAAAGGTAAGGAGCCAACTAAGAAGCAGGAGACAATCACCATTTAAACCAGGGGTCCCAAACTTGCGGCCCGTGGGCCAATTGTGGCCCGCAGGATGATATCCTGTGGCCCACCGTGATATGAAAGTATAATATTAGTGCGGCCCGCAGGGGGAATGGACCTCTGAAGGAAGTCCCGCCCGCCGTTCCTCGTTGTGGCTTCTTCTCCACCCTGAACTTTAACGACTCCAGGTACAGGTCCAGACTTACTGATGATCATCTTCAAGCCATACTGAGGGTTTCAAGTGCCTCCTCTCTCAAGCCAAATGTGGCTCAGATCTGTAAGAGGAAGCGTTGTCAAGTGTCTGGCAGCAAGGAGTAAGCTGGAGAAGCCATGTTCTGAGGAACTGTTCATGATCTTCATTCAATGTTCCATTCATGTGTTCAGGACAGTTCATGTATTGGTGAAATCATTAACTGTTGATGACATTTGAGGATATTTTTTAACAACGTTTTTTGTGGAATCCCTTATGCGGCCCAGCCTCACCCAGACTCTGCCTCCAGCAGCCCCCAGGTATATTGAGTTTGAGACCTCTGATTTAAACATTGAAGGATGGCTCATTTGATTAGTTAGGGAAGAGTCAGTAAATTCAGAAAAGTACAGCTAAATAGAAGAGCTACTTCTAAATGGTGTCACAATGCAAGAAAGTGATGCAGTATATGGAATGCTGCCAATTACACTGTCATCGATGAAAGATTTCATTGGCTATACACCACATGGGGTTCAACATCAGTTCAGTAGAGGACTCTAGACCTGTAGTTAATTTACAGACTCTGCTCTTTAGGAAATGGCTGACCTGGGAGAGATAATCTGGCAACCTTTTGGGGCCAATGACCACATTTGGAACTTGGAAAACACACTGTGAAGCTCCCATAAAATCATGATGTTTAGTTACAAAACACCCATTTACCAGAAGGCAAACTAATGACATTTCTCTAACAGAAGGATTCCCAAGAAGTCTGCTGTCTGCCCCTGACATTAAATACTGAAAAGTTCTATACAAAGATTTCTTCAGCCCTGATATTTACTAAAAGGCAAACAAGTAATAATTTCCTCATCCAAAGTAGTCACAAAGGATAGTTTTCACTCACTGCTACCTCTTTTATTAATATAGACCCGTGATGGTGAACCCTTGCTATGCATGCGGGAAGTGACACACAGAGCCATCTCTCTGGGCATGCCATCAATTGCCCATTGCTCTGGGGTTCTGGTGCGCACATGAGCACTGGCCAGCTGGTCTTCACATGCGTGGGAGTGCCAGAAACCAAAAGAGCAGCTCTGCTGGCACGCATGCATGCACTGGCCAGCTGGTCTTTGCGCATGCAGGAGTGCCGGAAACCGGAAAAGCAGCTCCCCAGAGTGCATGCTGGCCAGCTAGTCTTCGTGTGTGTATGTGCGTTAAAAACTGGAAAACCAGGTGGCTGGCGCGCATGCACACACCAGTAAACTAAGCTTCCAGTTTTTGGCGCTCCTGCGTTTGCACATCAGGGAATTGTTCTTCTGGTTTCTGGTGCACGTGCATGCACCCATTTGGGTATTTGTTGCCAAAAAGGTTAGCCACCACTGATAAGAAATAAGTCTTTATTTTAAATTTACTTGTGTTTTTGTTAAAGCAAGATATGAGTGTGTATTTGATTACAAAAGTATATAAAACAGATCGATAATGTCAGTTCTGTTTTACCCTTTATCTTTAAAAATTTCAGAAAATTCTTATTTTAACAAAACCTGCATAATATTTAAGTACTATTAATGAAATGTTTAATCTATAAGGATCTTTCTACAATAACCAAAAAAGTAAATATTAAGACATTGGATATAACACCTGTCCCTACCTACACTAATACTCATTTTCATCTATATTTTAGTCCCAACTATAATCAGGACAGCCTTCATTAATGCTATGCATTTGTGTTAGAGAGAGAGAGGGAGAGAGAGAGAACCAAAAGTGCTGATTGCATTTATTCTCTGCATGGATGGTCCTCAGTAAGAGCCTGCAAGTATTTAACACACCAAGCAGTTCAACATTCAAATCACATTCAGATCAGTGAAATGTTAATCTTTCTTCTATACAAACAAAAATGATAATAATATCAACAACAACAAAAAAGACAAGTCCATGAGAGAGGAAAAAAACCCTAAGTTAACAATGGCAGAATGCTACCAAGACAACATCATAAAATCTTAACTGAAGCAGGAGTTAATTCACATCACATCTTAGCAAAGCTCATCACAGACTTTCAAAAATAATATTGCTGTTTTATTTTTAAACTTTGGGTTTGGGTGTCAGGTTTTCCAGTATAATGTACTAATTCAAAAATGCTAATGCAGAAGCATAAGACCCCACCTGGTAAGATAATACACATACATATATACACAAACATATATATACATATACATACATATACATACATACATACATATATATACACATACATACATACATATATATATATATATATACACACACACACATACACACACGCACAAATTCCTCTGAATATTACTGCTGACTGACACCCATCTGCTGAGGATCAGCTTCGGCCTCCTCTTCTTCCACATCTGCATGATATTCTTCAAAGGCATCATCCACATCTGGGAGCCCCAATAGCTTTATAAAGAAGGAAGAAATAAATTGTAAATGTAATATGAAATATGAAATAATGACATGAGAAATATAATTTATACACCAGAGTAAACCTGAAAAAAATATTTGTGGAATGTGTACTACTGGTATAATGCTTTTTATATAAAAGAAGCAAAACTAGGCTAGATTTTATTTAAAGGCACTTCCAGATAAATAACCCTTTCTCTCTCTGAATCTAGCTTTCAATACAATGAAAATTATCTTGACTAGTTTTCAATTTCTTTTGAATAGAAAGATGAAAGACAACCTAGAATAGGCGTTGGCTTACCTGAACACATTTTCTCAGCATGCCTTGGGATAATCCACACACATGGGTTGAATCTGCCTTTCTGCCCAGAGACTGAGTCATCAATTTTTGCCACACCTCTTTCTGTCAGGCCAGGAAGTCCCCTAGCCCCAGTCACAACGAAGGCACAGCCACCTGATGATCTTTGTGGCGTTGGCTCTGCCTCTCACCTGAACACTGGACCAGACGATTGCCAGGGTAGGAGTGGATTATCCCAAAGCATGCTGAGAAACTGCATTCAGGTAAGTCATCGCTTATTCTCCAGCATGCCTATGGGAGAATCCACACCAAAGCTTGCAGTCCCTATGGGGGACTGAAGTCTGGTCCTGTGAACCCCCATCTGTATATACTCATTAAAGCATTCTTCTGCCAAAGGCCACCTCTGCTGAGGCATGTGTCCAGTTTGTAGTGCCTTATGAAAGGAGATGGGGAGGACCAAGTCACTGCCCTGCAGATGTCCTCAAGTGAGGTTTGTGTCGCACAGACAGCTGTGGTAGCTGTGGTGTTCTCAGTGAATGGGCGGTTACTTGGTACAGGAATAGCCTA